TCTTGCTCGCTCGTTGTAGGCCCGCGGCGCGGTGCCCAGCGGGGTTAGAGATGTCCGAGGGACGCGCCCGCCCTTTGACCTCTCCCCGCGCAAACTTGCATCTGCCCCGCCTGACTTGCACCGGCTGTTTCTGGGGCCCAGGCAATGGTTGTCCAGCAAGCTGATCAATGCGTTCTGGAGGCAGGCGGACGTCGAGGGTGGTGGGCCGGCAAGGAAGCCAGCCGAATCAGTCCAGAGATATGCCGCGGAATCGACGAAGGCAGCAAGCGCGGGGCAGGCCGCTACAGCGCGAGACGGCAGAAGAGGGGCGGCAGAAGCCCGCGGCATGCGCCCGCATTGCAGCTAGGGACCACGACGCAGATTCAGGGGTGCTGGCTGCTCCAGATTGACCATGTTCTTGCGTGGGAAATCTCTGCGCTCTCCCAGGGATTCGCGCGGATCGGCGAAATTCACGCCTATCTCGCCGTGCACTTCTTGGCGCGTGCCAGGCAACAGCGGGCGCCTAGGAACCCGCCTCGGAACGCAGTGCACTGACCAAGAGAGAGCAAGACCACAACAGGGAGAGAGCAAGACCACAACGGGGAGGTCGTCGGATAGCGCTTTCTCCGCACGCGCTTGGCCTATCACGAATGAACGCAGGCCGTGGCCCAACAATTCACAGGAAGAAATGCGAGTCCAGATGCGATCGAGACGTGAGACCGATGTCGCACGTGCCACATTGGCGACAGGTGAGGCGCCAGGATTGCGCATATCTTCGCGCAGCAGTACTTGATGAGTTGGATGCAGCTGTTCAACTTCACGCACACTAGGACACTGGCTAGAGAAATACTGGGACATGGCGCGCGGAGGGTGAGCCGCGCGCCCCGTCAGCTGGCGCCCCCTTCCCCGCCGGCGACCAAGTTTAAGTCCCCCGCGACGAAGCTAAGATCCCTCACCCGCGGCTCCAATTGCACCTTGATGGCCCGAAAGCTCTCTGTCGATCGCGCGATCAGCCGGGAACGTCATGCGAATTGAACGCGCGAAGCCTGCCATGAGAGCCCGAGCGTTCGTCCGTGTGAAAAGTGTCAGGGACCAATGCATGATGATGCATGCGAGTGAAACGAATTCGGTGGCGAGGACGCAAGAGGATGATGCAGCCGCCGGCGGGGGTAGCGTCAGCTACAGGATCAGAATGAAAGCAGCACGCGCAATATCCGAACCCGCCAACCATCTCCTTTAAGATCTGTCGAAGGTCACGTTCAGAATCTCTGCCTCCTTGGATTCACGCGAAGGAATGACAAGCAGAGAGATGAAGTAAACGAACCGCTTGTTTCTTCTGGCGATCGCTGGGGACCAAACAAACTTCGCGCGTTCCAAGAGGCGACGCGGGCCAGCAGCCTGGCAGCGGGCACAGACGTCAATCGAGGAAGAGGAAGACGGGAAGGCCGAAGGAGACAAGAAGTAGAGGAAAAGCTGTTTGAACTGCTGCTGCGTGAACGAATTGCAATCGACGTGCCGGCACGCCTGCGCCTTCGACCTGCTGCGCAAGCCGAACTCCCTGGGCGCGAACGTTTGCCCAGTGGGCGATCTTCAACTCGCAAACAGCTCGCATGCTTCCGCAGGAGAAAGGCACCTTGAACGGTACGCCATTCCTGCACATGGTTTCCTAGGAGTGAGCCGCGCACGCTTGCAGCCTTGCGCCGCTCGTCTATTGGCGCGGCTGTGATCTGGAACTGGGCGAGGTAATCGGGCTCTGGCTCGATCTGCCGCTGCTCGTTGTCGAGTTCTTGGGGGCGCGCAAGACGCGCGCGCCGCCCTGCCAGCTCTGCTCCTGGCAAGGAATCTTCTGGGTTTCCAAAACTCGAGGATCCTCTGCAAGATTTGCCCGAGGACCTTGCGCCAGGCGCGCGCGAAGGGCGGGTCGTCAAGCCTGCTCCTGAGCTCCACCTGGCCGGCCTTGGCGCCCTGGTAATCAATGCCGCGAGCGCGGGTGAAGTCCAAAAAGGCCTTGGCCTCGACCTCGTAAAGGAACTTGACGATCTCAGCATTAGCGGTGAGGACGAATTGGAACCGGGACCGATTCGCCGTGTCTGTTGCGGACTCGCTGCAGCATGGGCCTCTTGAAGCCTCTGATCCACAACTTGCACTTGTCGCCTTTGCTGGCCTGGTCGGTGTTACCGACCTCGAACCCGCGTCTGCCGTGAGGCGGCTTCCCCGTGGCCTGACTACTTGCGAGACTCGGCGCGATGCTTGCCGCCGAGCTGCACGCACTGGAGACGGCCTGGTGCTTCTTCTCGAGCTCGTCGAACTTGCCCTGGATCTCCGCGCCGAGGGCGGTGTCGAAGGCCTTGTCGGCGGATGCCTGCAAGTCCGTCGGGATACCGCCGCGCACTGCGCCTGCAACAGCGCGAGCTTCAGGCTCCGGTCGTGGACCTTCTGCTTCAGCGAATTGAAATTTGCTCTGGCCTCGTTGATGGAGTTCACGAGAGCATGGGGACAGGCTGGCCGCTCAGCTGGAGCAGCTTGACTGGAGAGGTCCACGTAGCCGTCGTCGCCCGCCTTCCTCATGCCATTCTCAATATGAGCATCCATCCCCTCATCCTGCGATGATACCGTCGGGGCGTTGACCTAAGGAACCCTAAATAAGGAAAGAGGCCCCTTATCTGCAGAAGTACAACTTCGACTTCCCATCGTCAATCCAAGGATAACCTGGGGCAACTTGTGAAACAATGAAGGAACACGGAGCCCCTCCCCAACGAACAAGGTTCTTTGTTCAGAACCCCGACTGTACCAGAGCCGGCAAATCTGGGACAGCCCGGTGCGCCACGGAAGAGAAACTGGTGCAGTGCGCGGGCTGGTGCAACACAGTGATGCACGCCTGACAGATCTGCCAGCTGGTGGGCCGGAGCCGACCCTCGGAGCTGACAGGTTCCTTTTTGCAGGGTGCTCTCGAAGCTCCCCCGCTGGCTGTGTCCAATCTGGAAACCCCAAGGAACGGTGTCCGCCTTGAGCCAACATGGCCACGGAAGGCAGGGGACGAGGCGGATGAGGAGGAGAAAAGCAGGAGGGGAGGCAGATGAAGACGAAAGAAGGAGCATAGAGGAGGGAGACTCCAAAGGAGGAGGGGGAGGCACCAGCAGCAGCGAGAGAAGCGGATGCCGCCCTACAACCAGACCGAACATGATCCACCGTCGATCGTCGACCTGGAAGGGGCTTCTCCCCCACCTCCTCCACCTTAAACTCCACAACCTCCTCTACCCCCCACTCCTTGACCCCTTCCCCCGCCTCCTCCGCATTCCTACAACATGGGTGCGCTCCTCCTTCCTCATTCCCTCCCTTTGAACCCTCCCGCCCCGCTCGCGCGCCTCCGACCTTCACGTCCACCACCCCCTCCTCCTCCTCCTTCTCCTCCTCCTCGTCCTCGTCCTCCTCCTCCTCCTCCTCCTCCTCCTCCACCTCCTCCTGCTCCTCCTCCTCCTCCTCCTCATCATCATCATCAGCATCAGTTTCATCATCATCATCCTCATCCTCATCATCATCATCATCATCATCATCACCATCATCATCATCATCAGCATCATCATCATCATCATCATCATCCGCAGCAGCAGCATCATCCTCATCACATGTATCGTCATCCTCATCATCATCATCCTCATCATCATCATCAGCATCATCATCATCAGCAGCAGCAGCATCATCGTCATCATCCTCATCCTCATCATCATCAGCAGCATCACCATCATAAGCATCATCAGCATCACCATCATCATCATCATCATCATCATCATCATCATCATCATCATCATCATCATCATCATCATCATCACCATCACCATCCTCATCCTCATCCTCATCCTCAGCATCCTCATCCTCATCCTCATCATTATCATCCTCATCCTCATCATCAGCATCATCATCAACAACAACATCAACCTCGTCATCCCGCTCCTCCTCCCCCTCCTGCTGCTCCTCCTCCTCCTCCTACTGCTCCTCCTCCTCCTCCTCCTCTTCCTCCACCTCCTCCTCCTCCACCTTCTACCTCCACACTCTCCTCCACCTCCACCTCCACCTCCACCTCCACCTCCACCTCCACCTCCTCCTCCTCGTCCTCCACTTCCTCACCTCCTCCTCCTCGTCCTTCCTCCTCCTCCACCTCCACCTCCACCTCCACCTCGTCCTCCAATCCTCCTCCTCCTCTCGTCCTCCAATTCCTCCTCCTCCTCCCAACTTCTCCTCCCATCACCCTCCTCCTGCCCATCCTCCTCCTCCTCCTCCTCCTCCTCCTCCTCCTCCTCCTCCTCCTCCCTCCTCCTCCTCCTCCGCCTTCCTCCTCCTCCTCCTCCTCCTCCTCCTCCTCCTCCTCCTCCTCCTCCTCCTCCTCCTCCTCCTCCTTCTCCTCCTCCTCCTCATCATCCTCCTCTTCCTCCTCCTCCTCCTCCCCCTCCACCTCCTCCACCTCCACCTCCTCCTCCTCCTCCTCCTCCTCCTCTTCCTCCTCCTCCTCCTCCTGCTCCTCCTCCTCCTCCTCCTCCTCCTCTCATCCTCCTGCTCCTCCTCCTCCCTTCTTTCCCTGACTCCCTGGCTCCCACCCCAACTTCAGAATCTCGGAGCCCCGCCTGCAGCTGCACGCGCTGCACCTGCTGCACCAGCACCTTCGCCTCCTGCGCCACCGGCGCCGCGGAGGACTGCTGCAGCTCCGCCTCGACGGGCGCCACGGCGGCCCTCGCGGTGGCCTGCCGCTCGCGCGGCCGCAAGACCCCGAGCTACGGCATGTGTGTTGTTCGGTCGGGGCGTGGTGCCCCGATCCTGGCCCCCGGGGCCCGCCATCGGGCCCGCCCCATGACTTCCAGAGCTGGGCTCGGGAAGCCACACTAGCCCTGGGGAAAGGGTCGGGAGCTCTGGGGCCGCGGGCCGAATAAACCATTATTTATTATCTTGCACAGTTGTGTTCTAGAGCTCGGACCTCTTTATTTTCGTCGTCGTTCGTTCGTTCGTCATTCGTCCTCCCCCCCCCCCCCCGGCCACAGAAGGAAATTCCTGGAGGAAGGAGGCGAATGCCTCCTGTCCCTCTCAGCTCCTTGGTGCAAGAGCTAGGGCACGCGTGCCACTTGTCGGAGGATGTCTGGGGACCTGGGCATCCAACATCGTGACCTTTGCGCAACGCGGGGCTGCACGTGACAGTGACCCTAAGCAAGAGCACCCATCGGTGCGCGACGTTCGGGGGCTGCGGGGTGGCCGAACCAGAGCGCGCGAGCTGCTGCTATGGCATCGCATTGAGCCACCTGGGAATCCCAGTGTGCCCCCACCGAAAAACGCTCGGGAGAAAAGTCACTCCTACATATTGCCGGAACGTGGCTCCCAAGAGGTCTGGACCACTTCTCAGAGTCCCGAATCATCAGGGGTAACTCGGGTCAGGGATAACTCGGGTTCCTTTTTCGGGAATCCAAGCCCGAGTTACCCCGGACCCGAGTTACCCCGGATAACTCGGGCGTCCAGAGCCCCAGAATCATCAGGGGTAACTCGGGTCAGGGATAACTCGGGTTCCTTTTTCGGGAATCCAAGCCCGAGTTACCCCGGACCCGAGTTACCCCGGATAACTCGGGCGTCCAGAGCCCCAGAATCATCAGGGGTAACTCGGGTCAGGGATAACTCGGGTTCCATTTTCGGGAATCCAAGCCCGAGTTACCCCGGACCCGAGTTACCCCGGATAACTCGGGCGCCCACACTTCCAGGGGACCGGCCTCTACGCTCGACGGAAGAATCACTCCCACAGCGGCCCCGAGACCTCTGCCCCTCCCACCGAAGAACGCCCCGTGGGCAGGCGTGTCAAAGAGGCCGCCGGGGGGGGCCCCAGGAGGTTCCCAAGGAACTTCCGGGGGAATCGCTGCTCCACGGACGCGAAACGCTGGAGCATCGAATCGCTGCTTCATAGAGGAAAGAGAGCTATGCACATACACCGATTCTGGCCAGGACCATCCTGAGCCCAGGATCGGTGCATACGCCCTCCTACCTTGGCCAGGAAGGTATATGCACCGATCCTGGGTCAAGGATGGGCGTTGTCAAGATCGGTGCATGTGCATAGTTCTCTTCGCCGGAGCTTCACGGACGGCATCACGATGATTCTACCGATCCTGTTCGGGAGGGTGCGGAACGCTTAGACTTCACTGGTGTCGCTACTGCGCCGGCGCAGTGGCAAGCTTTGCCGCAGAAAGCTGGACAGAGCTCCCACTCAGATAAGAAACGGACCCCTTTTGAAACTCAAGCCAGACTGGGATTGCCTGCCATGCACATGCCAAGGAAAATCGGGCCTCTTGGTGAACAAACACGGGTTCTGTATTTCAACGCTTCGACTGTGGGAGGGGCTCGTTCAAACCTCACTCCTTTCCGCCTTGTCCTCCGCAGCAGCCAGATCGGCCCTCGCCAGTGCCAGCTCCGCCTTGGCGTTCTCGGACAGCTGCTCCAGATCCTTGCAGCGGCTGGACAGTTGCTTGGCCCGCTCGCGTTCCTCGTCGAGAGCCGCCTGCGCAGAGCTCTTCGACGCCTCAAGCGCCTGGAGATCCAACGACATCTTCTCGATCTGAACAGCTTGCTGCGCAGCAGCCGCGTCCTGCCCCTGAGTGGCCATGGCCTCGTACTGTGCTGCCTGCTCCTGTGCATGCGCCAGTTCTGTCTTGGCCGTCAAGGACAGCTGCTCCAGCTCCTTGCAGCGGCTGGACAGCTGCTTGGCCCTCTCGCGCTCCTCGTCGAGAGCCGCCTGCGCAGAAGTCTTCGACGCCTCGAGCGCCTGCAGGTCCAATGTCATTTTCTCCACCTGGGCAGCTGCCTGTGCAGCAGCCGCGTCCTGAGCCTGCGCGACCATGGCCTCGTGTTGGGCGGCGCGATCCTGAGCCTGTGCCAGTTCTGCCCTAGCGTTCGAGGACAGCTGCTCCAGCTCCTTGCAGCGGCTGGACAGCTGCTTTGCACGCTCGCGCTCCTCGTCGAGAGCCGCCTGCGCAGAACTCTTCGACGCCTCGAGCGCCTGGAGATCCAACGACATCTTCTCGATCTGAACAGCTTGCTGGGCAGCAGCCGCGTCCTGCCCCTGAGTGGCCATGGCCTCGTACTGTGCTGCCTGCTCCTGTGCATGCGCCAGTTCTGTCTTGGCCGTCGAGGACAGCTGCTCCAGCTCCTTGCAGCGGCTGGACAGCTGCTTGGCCCTCTCGCGCTCCTCGTCGAGAGCCGCCTGCGCAGAAGTCTTCGACGCCTCGAGCGCCTGCAGGTCCAATGTCATTTTCTCCACCTGGGCAGCTGCCTGTGCAGCAGCCGCGTCCTGAGCCTGCGCGACCATGGCCTCGTGTTGGGCGGCGCGATCCTGAGCCTGTGCCAGTTCTGCCCTAGCGTTCGAGGACAGCTGCTCCAGCTCCTTGCAGCGGCTGGACAGCTGCTTTGCACGCTCGCGCTCCTCGTCGAGAGCCGCCTGCGCCGTGCTCTTCGACGCCTCGAGCGCCTGGAGATCCAACGACATCTTCTCAATCTGACCAACTGCTTGCGCCGCAGCCGCATCCGGGGCCGCCTTGACCATGGCCTCGTACTGGGCGGCGCGATCCTGAGCCCGCGCCAGTTCTGCCTGTGCGTTCGACGACAGCTTCTCTAGCTCCTTGCAGCGGCTGGACAGCTGCTTTGAACGCTCGCGCTCCTCGTCGAGAGCCGCCTGCGCCGAACTCTTCGACGCCTCGAGAGCCTGCAGGTCCAATGTCATCTTCTCCGCTTGAGCAGCAGCCTGTGCAGCAGCCGCGTCCCGACCAGCCGTGACCATGGCCTCGTACTCAGCGTATCGCTTCTGAGCCTGCACCAGATCTGCTTTGGAGTTCAAGGATAGCTGCTCCAGCTCCTTGCAGCGGCTGGACAGCTGCTTTGCACGCTCGCGCTCCTCGTCGAGAGCCGCCTGCGCCGAACCCTTTGACGCCTCGAGCGCCTGCAGGTCCAATGTCATCTTCTCCGCTTGAGCAGCTGCCTGTGCAGCAGCCGCGTCCTTAGAGGCCTCCCAAATTGGGTCCGAGTAGATGGGGTCGGAGTATCGCGCCGCATCGACGATACATCGGCAGTGCAGCGGCGACGTCTGCATGGAGAAGATCGGGCTCCGCATCGAGCCCCATCACCGATGCATCGGCGATGCGGGGCGATCCACCGACACCATCTACTCCGACCCCATCTGGGAGGACTAGAGTCCTGGCCCTGCGCGACCATGGCCTCGTACTCGGCGTAGCGCTCCTGAGCCTGTGCCAGATCCGCCTTGGTGTTCGATGACAGCTGCTCCAGCTCCTTGCAGCGGCTGGACAGCTGCCTTGCACGCTCGCGCTCCTCGTCGAGAGCCGCCTGCGCCGTGCTCTTCGACGCCTCGAGCGCCTGGATATCCAACGACATCTTCTCAATCTGACCAACTGCTTGCGCCGCAGCCGCATCCGGGGCCGCCTTGACCATGGCCTCGTACTGGGCGGCGCGATCCTGAGCCTGCGCCAGTTCTGCCCTAGCGTTCGAGGACAGCTGCTCCAGCTCCTTGCAGCGGCTGGACAGCTGCTTGGCCCTCTCGCGCTCCTCGTCGAGAGCCGCCTGCGCCGAACTCTTCGACGCCTCGAGCGCCTGCAGGTCCAATGTCATTTTCTCCACCTGGGCAGCTGCCTGTGCAGCAGCCGCGTCCTGAGCCTGCGCGACCATGGCCTCGTGTTGGGCGGCGCGATCCTGAGCCTGTGCCAGTTCTGCCCTAGCGTTCGAGGACAGCTGCTCCAGCTCCTTGCAGCGGCTGGACAGCTGCTTTGCACGCTCGCGCTCCTCGTCGAGAGCCGCCTGCGCCGTGCTCTTCGACGCCTCGAGCGCCTGGAGATCCAACGACATCTTCTCAATCTGACCAACTGCTTGCGCCGCAGCCGCATCCGGGGCCGCCTTGACCATGGCCTCGTACTGGGCGGCGCGATCCTGAGCCCGCGCCAGTTCTGCCTGTGCGTTCGACGACAACTTCTCTAGCTCCTTGCAGCGGCTGGACAGCTGCTTTGAACGCTCGCGCTCCTCGTCGAGAGCCGCCTGCGCCGAACTCTTCGACGCCTCGAGAGCCTGCAGGTCCAATGTCATCTTCTCCGCTTGAGCAGCAGCCTGTGCAGCAGCCGCGTCCCGACCAGCCGTGACCATGGCCTCGTACTCAGCGTATCGCTTCTGAGCCTGCACCAGATCTGCTTTGGAGTTCAAGGATAGCTGCTCAAGCTCCTTGCAGCGGCTGGACAGCTGCTTTGCACGCTCGCGCTCCTCGTCGAGAGCCGCCTGCGCCGAACCCTTTGACGCCTCGAGAGCCTGCAGGTCCAATGTCATCTTCTCCGCTTGAGCAGCTGCCTGTGCAGCAGCCGCGTCCTTAGAGGCCTCCCAAATTGGGTCCGAGTAGATGGGGTCGGAGTATCGCGCCGCATCGACGATACATCGGCAGTGCAGCGGCGACGTCTGCATGGAGAAGATCGGGCTTCGCATCGAGCCCCATCACCGATGCATCGGCGATGCGGGGCGATCCACCGACACCATCTACTCCGACCCCATCTGGGAGGACTAGAGTCCTGGCCCTGCGCGGCCATGGCCTCGTACTCGGCGTAGCGCTCCTGAGCCTGTGCCAGATCCGCCTTGGTGTTCGATGACAGCTGCTCCAGCTCCTTGCAGCGGCTGGACAGCTGCCTTGCACGCTCGCGCTCCTCGTCGAGAGCCGCCTGCGCCGTGCTCTTCGACGCCTCGAGCGCCTGGATATCCAACGGCATCTTCTCAATCTGACCAACTGCTTGCGCCGCAGCCGCATCCGGGGCCGCCTTGACCATGGCCTCGTACTGGGCGGCGCGATCCTGAGCCTGCGCCAGTTCTGCCCTAGCGTTCGAGGACAGCTGCTCCAGCTCCTTGCAGCGGCTGGACAGCTGCTTTGCACGCTCGCGCTCCTCGTCGAGAGCCGCCTGCGCCGAACTCTTCGACGCCTCGAGAGCCTGCAGGTCCAATGTCATCTTCTCCGCTTGAGCAGCTGCCGCGTCCTGACCCTGCGCGACCATGGTCTCGTACTCGGCGTATCGCTCCTGAGCCTGCGCCAGATCTGCCTTGGAGTTCGAGGACAGCTGCTCCAGCTCCTTGCAGCGGCTGGACAGCTGCTTTGCACGCTCGCGCTCCTCGTCGAGAGCCGCCTGCGCCGTGCTCTTCGACGCCTCGAGCGCCTGGAGGTCCAACGTCATCTTCTCAATCTGACCAACTGCTTGCGCCGCAGCCGCATCCGGGGCCGCCTTGACCATGGCCTCGTATTGGGAGGCACGATCCTGAGCCTGCGCCAGTTCTGCCTGTGCGTTCGAGGACAGCTCTCCAGCTCCTTGCAGCGGCTGGACAGCTGCTTTGCACGCTCGCGCTCCTCGTCGAGAGCCGCCTGCGCAGAACTCTTCGACGCCTCGAGCGCCTGCAGGACCTTCTCCGCTTGAGCAGCTGCCGCCTCCTGACCCTGCGCCACCATGGCCTCGTACTCAGCGTAGCGCTCCTGAGCCTGTGCTAAGTCCGCCTTGGAGTTCGAGGACAGCTTCTCTAGCTCCTTGCAGCGGCTGGACAGCTGCTTTGCACGCTCGCGCTCCTCGTCGAGAGCAGCCTGCGCCGTGCTCTTCGACGCCTCGAGCGCCTGGAGGTCCAACGACATCTTCTCAATCTGACCAACTGCTTGCGCCGCAGCCGCATCCGGGGCCGCCTTGACCATGGCCTCGTACTGGGCGGCGCGATCCTGAGCCCGCGCCAGTTCTGCCTGTGCGTTCGACGACAGCTGCTCCAGCTCCTTGCAGCGGCTGGACAGCTGCTTTGCACGCTCGCGCTCCTCGTCGAGAGCCGCCTGCGCAGAACTCTTCGACGCCTCGAGAGCCTGCATATCTAATGTCATCTTCTCCGCCTGAGCAGCTGCCGCGTCCTGACCCTGCGCCACCATGGCCTCGTACTCGGCGTAGCGCTCCTGAGCCTGTGCTAAGTCCGCCTTGGAGTTCGAGGACAGCTGCTCCAGCTCCTTGCAGCGGCTGGACAGCTGCTTTGCACGCTCGCGCTCCTCGTCGAGAGCCGCCTGCGCAGAAGTCTTCGACGCCTCGAGAGCCTGCGGGTCCAGTGTCATCTTCTCCGCTTGAGCAGCTGCCGCGTCCTGACCCTGCGCGACCATGGTCTCGTACTCGGCGTATCGCTCCTGAGCCCGCGCCAGATCTGCCTTGGAGTTCAAGGATAGCTGCTCTAGCTCCTTGCAGCGGCTGGACAGCTGCTTTGCACGCTCGCGCTCCTCGTCGAGAGCCGCCTGCGCAGAACCTTTCGACGCCTCGAGCGCTTGGAGATCCAACGACATCTTCTCAACCTGAGCAGCTTGCTGCGCCGCGATGGCGTCCGAGCCTGCCGACACCATGGCCTCGTACGCGACGGAGCGCTCCTGAGCCCGTGCCAGATCCGCCTGAGCGTTCGCGGACAGCTGCTCCAGCTCCTTGCAGCGGCTGGACAGCTGCTTTGCACGCTCGCGCTCCTCGTCGAGAGCCGCCTGCGCAGAACTCTTCGACGCCTCGAGAGCCTGCAAATCTAATGTCATCTTCTCCGCCTGAGCAGCTGCCGCGTCCTGACCCTGCGCGACCATGGCCTCGTACTCGGCGTAGCGCTCCTGAGCCTGTGCCAAGTCCGCCTTGGAGTTCGAGGACAGCTGCTCCAGCTCCTTGCAGCGGCTGGACAGCTGCTTTGCACGCTCGCGCTCCTCGTCGAGAGCCGCCTGCGCAGAACTCTTCGACGCCTCGAGAGCCTGCAAATCTAATGTCATCTTCTCCGCCTGAGCAGCTGCCGCGTCCTGACCCTGCGCCACCATGGCCTCGTACTCAGCGTAGCGCTCCTGAGCCTGTGCTAAGTCCGCCTTGGAGTTCGAGGACAGCTGCTCCAGCTCCTTGCAGCGGTTGGACAGCTGCTTTGCACGCTCGCGCTCCTCGTCGAGAGCCGCCTGCGCAGAACCTTTCGACGCCTCGAGCGCTTGGAGATCCAACGACATCTTCTCAACCTGAGCAGCTTGCTGCGCCGCGATGGCGTCCGAGCCTGCCGACACCATGGCCTCGTACGCGACGGAGCGCTCCTGAGCCCGTGCCAGATCCGCCTTAGCGTTCGCGGACAGCTGCTCCAGCTCCTTGCAGCGGCTGGACAGCTGCTTTGCACGCTCGCGCTCCTCGTCGAGAGCCGCCTGCGCAGAACTCTTCGACGCCTCGAGAGCCTGCAAATCTAATGTCATCTTCTCCGCCTGAGCAGCTGCCGCGTCCTGACCCTGCGCCACCATGGCCTCGTACTCGGCGTAGCGCTCCTGAGCCTGTGCCAAGTCCGCCTTGGAGTTCGAGGACAGCTGCTCCAGCTCCTTGCAGCGGCTGGACAGCTGCTTTGCACGCTCGCGCTCCTCGTCGAGAGCCGCCTGCGCAGAACTCTTCGACGCCTCGAGCGCTTCGAGATCCAACGTCATCTTCTCAATCTGCGCGGCCGCCTCCTCCGACGCCGCGCCTCGCTCGTGCGCCGCCGCCACCTCTTGAGCAGCCAAACGCTCCTGCGCCTGTGCCATGTCCTCCTTGGCCTGCGACGACAGCTGCTCCAGCTCCCGGCACCTGGCGGAAAGCTGCCCAGCACGCTCGCGCTCCTCGTCGAGCGCAGCCTGCGCCGAGGTCATCGAGGTCTCGACCGCGCCCTTTTCCGCAGCCAGCTGCTCGACGTCCCGTGCCATCTCAGCCTCCCGCGCGGCGAGACGCTCCTGAGCCTCGGCCGCCTCCGCCTGGGCCTGCACAGAGAGCGCGTCCAGCTCCCGGCACCGCGCCGACAGCTGCTCGGCGCGCCCCCTCTGCTCGTCCAGCTCCGCCTGCGCTGCGCTCCTCGAGGCCTCGAGCTCCGACACGTCGAGGGACAGCTTCTCCATCCGTGACTCGTCCTGTGCCGTGGCCGCCTGGGCTGCCGCCAGCGAGGCGGCCATCGCATCGTGCTTCAGCGCCAGCTGGGCCTGCCGCTGATTGGCCTCCGCGAGGGACCCCTGCAGGCTGCGGATGAGCTCCTCGCTGCTGGTGGCGGCGTCCTGGCTCTGGGCCAGGCTGCGCTCCACTGCTTGCAGTCGCTCCTCCAGCGCGTTCTTGGCCTGCTCGGCCTCGTGGACGCAGTCCCAGGCGCGCTCGAAGCGCTGACGCTCCTCCTCGTGCTGCCGCTCTGCCTCCGCCGCGAGCCGCCTCGTCTCCTCCTCGGCCCCGCGCGCCTCCTGGAGCTCGGCCCTGACGGCCTGCAGCTCGGCCTCTTGGCCAGGCGCCGCCTTCAACTGCACCTGTTGCACGTGCTGCACCTGCTGCACCTGCACCACCTGCTCGTCCTGCCTCGCCGGTGCAGAGGACTCCTGAAACTCCATGTCCTCCATCTTGATAGGGACGACCGCCTGCTGCGGCGGGAGCGCCCGCTCCTCGATGGCATCCGCGAGGGCGGTGCCGCCGGGTGCCTGTGCTGGTGCGGCCTCCGTCGCGCTCTCGCGTGCCCGCGCAAGCTCGGCCTCGGCATGCGCCAGGCGCTGGCTCAGCTCCTCCTGTCGGGAACGGCCAAGAGAGGAGTGTCCAAGAGGGGGGGGTGCAAATCATGACCGGCGGCATGTGCGCGGCCCAGCGGAGGGGCCAGGGACGTAATGAAATAAGAAGAGGCGCCATGACATCTGGGGAAATATCATGGCCCCCGCCATGATCTCCCCCCCCCCAGTCATCACCCACCTCTTTGCCGCCCCCGATCCTGCTGCCTCTGCTCCTGGGCGAGCTCGCTCCGGACCTCGGCCAGCCGCTCCTCGCCCTCCCGCGCGGCCTGCTGGCTCATTGCCTCCCGGCGCTCGCGCTCCTCGGCGAGCTCCGCCCGGAGCCCGGCCACGCGCTCCTCCGCGCCCTCGAGGCTCCTCATCCGATCGCTGCCCTGGGCCTCCTCGTCGGCCTCGAGGCGCGCCAGGCGCTGCTCGAGGGCCTCCGCGCTGCGCCGCGCCTGCCCGAGCTGGCTCTCCAGGGCCGCCGCCTCGGCGGCGTGGGCGGCCGTCCTGGCCGCGAGGCTGTCCGCCGCCTCCCTCGCGGCCGCCTCGGCCTCCCCCAGGCGGGCGCGGGCCGCCTCCAGGGACGCGCGCTCCTGGATGGGCCCGTGTTCCACCACCCACTCACCACAGGTGGGAGAGGGAGGAGGAGGAGGAGGAGGAGGAGGAGGAGGAGGAGGAGGAGGAGGAGGAGGAGGAGGAGGAGGAGGAGGACCTCCTCGTCCTCCCTTCTCCCCCGTCCTACGTCTGGCAGCGGTGGGTGGAAAACGTGCCCGTCATTCCTGCTCGAGCTGGGCCTCCATGGACCCCACCCGGGCCTGCAGCCCCTCGTGCTTCGTCTGCTCGGCCGTGAGCATCTCCGTGAGCTCCTCCGCCGCGTTGCCCTGCGAGAGCTGCTCGGAGATGCGGCGCTGCGAGGCGAGGTTCTGCTGCAGGGAGGCGCGCAGGCCCTCCTCCTCCGCCAGCCGCACGGCCAGCGCGCTGCGCTCCGCGGCCCCCTTGGCGGACTCGGCCTCCATGCCCGCCAGCCTCGCAGGAAGCACAACAGGGCTGAACCTAAACGGTGTGTTTCGTTTTCGTGTTGTTTTATGTTTTCCTCGTTTTGTCTTCAATCCGCCTTCGCCGCAAAACGACATCGGAACGAAGACGGCCCACGAAATCGCCAACACACCGTTCAGGTCCAGCCCTGAAGCACAGGCCGCACAAGCCAGAAACTGTGCCGGAGGTCCGCGGGGATGTGTCTGGGATCGGCGCCGGGCCTCGCAAGAAGACGCGTCCCCTCAAGAGCTCAAGAGCAGGTGTGGACATGCCTCTCACTATCTTTTGGGGAAGGCGCCTTCGCAGCAGCGCATGAGCAGACACTTCCACTGTCGGAGGTCCGCGCGCAAGTTCCTGGGCACGGCGCCGGACGTCCCTCCCTGGCGCGCGGAGGCGCCGCCAGGGGCGGTGCCAGGGGTGCCGCCAGCCCCCCGCTCCGATGCAAGGCGTCCGCGAAGAGCTCGGAGAAATCCACGGTCGAGAGCGTTTGCTCAGCGAGCCGCGGCGGCGCCCGCGGCGACACGCTGCGCCTCCCGGGCGGAGCGCGTGTCGCTCCGCTCCGCGGGGCGGGAGGCTGGGAGCAGCCCGGACCAGAGCTTCGAGGCGACTCCGGCCTCGTGGCGACGAGGGCCTTCCCCGGGGAAGCCCACGAGGGGCGCAGGCAAGGGGAAGGGCCCTGCCGCCCCAGACATGCGACGCCCTGGCTTCTCGGGGCGGCGCTCCTGGAAGTCCAGGCCCTTTCCCCAGGGCCGGCTTTTAAATCTGAGTCGTTGTTTGACGGTCCCCCGGGGCCGAAAATCAGCCGATCCGGCGCGTGAGTTTGAAGAAGCCTCAGCTACCGCCCACAGCCTAGAGCCTGAGCTTCAGCTCTGCTGGGGGGGGGGGGCAGGGTGGCTCTGCCGGGGAAGGGGGGAGGGGGGGGGAACGAGTTGTGGTCCGCTTTCTGGAGGGGGCTTTTCTGGGCCCACGAGGGTCCCCTGACGGGCCAAGAGGGCCCAGGACCCCCCACGACGGTCCCAGAAGCCCCCGAGACTTCCCAAAGAGCGCTCCAAGACGCCGAAGATGACCTCCATACGGCCCAAGAGGCCGCCGAGACGCTCCAAGAAGCCTCCAAGAGCCCTTAGAAGAGGACCCTTAGAGGCCCAAATCATACATTTTACTATGGTTTCGGACGGATTCTGGCCTTCCCGCCTTTTCGGCTTCCCGACGCTCCAAGACGGCCCCAGAGGCCCCCAGGATCGCCCCAAGACGGCCCAAGAGGCTCCCCAAATGGCCCCACGACGGCCCAAGAGAGCCCCAAGACTGCCCAAGAAACCCCCAAGACGGCCCCAGAGGCTCTCAAGACGGCTCCAAGAGGGGAGCCAGACGGGGAACCCGAACGGAAATTTCGAGCCATCGGCCTCCAGAAGCCCCCATGAGGTCTCAAGAGGCCCCCAAGAGGCCCCCAAGAAGACCCCAAGAGGTCCCAAGAGGCCTCCACGAGGCTCCTAGCAGGACCCAAGAGGCCCAGAAGAGGCCCCCAAGAGGCCCAGAGGAGGCCTCGAGGGTCCCCACAACGGCCCCCAGGATGCATCAAAAGTGCACTCATGAGGCCCCCGAGAGACCTACCACGAGATCGTCGTCGGCCGTCGGCAGCCGTTCGCCGTCAGTCGTCGTCGTCGTCGACGTCTTGGTCATCGTCGTCGTCGTCGTCGTCGTCGTCGACGCCGTCGTCGTCGTCGTCGTCGTCGTCGTCGTCGTCGTCGTCGTCGTCGTCGTCGTCGTCGTCGTCGTCGTCGTCGTCGTCGTCGTCGTCGTCGTCGTCGTCGTCGTCGTCGTCGTCGTCGTCGTCGTCGTCGTCGTCGTCGTCGTCGTCGTCGTCGTCGTCGTCGTCGTCGTCGTCGTCATCGTTGTCGTCAACCGTCGTCGTCAACCCGTTCGTCGCTCGTCGTCGTCGTCGTAATGGTCCCACTCGTCGACCCTCGGTCGCCCCTTGTCGTCGCCATCGCCCCTCACAAGAATGGCACCAGGAGCGCGGCCCGCGTCGGCGGCACTGGCCCGAGGCCACTACAGTATAGCGCAAACCTTGCCGTCCTGGGCTTTGCACGACGCGACCACGTCTGGGGCCCTTCCCTCCGCGGCGGCCTCCTCTCGGCGGCCTCGGCCCCTCGCTGCTCCAGCGCCAGCCGCTCCTCCAGCTCCGCCGCGCGGGCGCTGAGCTGCTGCTGGCGCTGCTGCTGCTCGGCCAAGGAGGCCTGCAGCGCGGCCCGCTCGGAGGACACGGCGGCCAGGGCCGCGTTGGACTCCCTCGCGCGACGTGGCTCGACCGACCCCAGGTCCCCACTGGCGTGGCCCGGGCCCCGCTGGCAGCACTACAGTCGGGGCGTTGACCTAAGGAACCCTAAATAAGGAACGAGGCCCCTTTTTTCCATAAGTCCCACCAGCCCTTTGGGCGTGAGTGGTTTAGAGAGCCCGCTCTGTTCTCAACCCCCTTCTTCCCCTTCGGGGAGGGGTTTACCCCTCCCCCTACCCCCTCCCCCTGGGCCTGGAGAGGGCGTTTCGCGGGTCGTTGGAGGGGTCTTTTTCGACTCCTGGGAGGGCTAAAATTCGACACCTCTCACGAGGATTGTGGCCCCGACGGGGGGAGGCAGAAAAATGCTTGCCCCAGCTGTGATCGATCGCCCGAAAGATGGCCCCAAGATACCTCCCAGACCCCTCCCAAAGAGCCCCAAAAGGCCCCAAGAGGCCTCCAAGAGGCCCCCAAGAGGCCCCCAAGAGGCCCCCAAGAGGCCCCACGAGGCTCCCTCGAGGCACCCAAGACGCTCCTGGAAGCCCCTGGGGCCGCCAAGAGGCCCCCAAGACGCCCCAAACGGCCTCCAAGAGGCTCCCAAGAGGCCCGAGGAGGCTCCACCAAGGCACCCAAGACGCTCCTAGAAGCCCCTGGGGCCGCCAAGAGGCCCCCAAGACGCCCCAAAAGGCTTCCAAGAGGCTCCCAAAAGACATCCGAACGACTCACACCACGAAGAGCCCGAACGACTCACACCAGAAGGAAGGGCCCGAACGACTCACACCAGGACGAGGCGCCCGAACGACTCACACCACGAGGAGCCCGAACGACTCACACCACGAGCCCGAACGACTCACACCACGAGGAGCCCGAACGAGTCACACCAGGAGGAGGGGCCCGAACGACTCACACCAGGATGAGGGGCCCGAACAACTCACACCACGAGAAGCCCGAACGACTCACACCAGGACGAAGAGCCCGAACGACTCACACCACGAAGAGCCCGAACGACTCACACCAGGAAGAAGGGCCCGAACGACTCACACCAGGACGAGAACCCCAAACGACTCAAACCACGAGGAGCGCTTTCTCTCCCTCCTCCTCCGCCTCGTCCTTCTCCCGCTCCCACCACAAGGAGGATGTACAAGGAGGCGGGAGGAAGGAGGAACAGGGGATATATGCGGGGGCAGGCGGAAACACGCCTGAAAAACACGACTGTCGGCATGCTTCGCAAGAGTTGCTGTTTTGAGATGGGCTGGTGGGGATACGCGAAGCGTGAAGAATTAAACTTCGATTTCCTATCGAAAACATGAGGGAAACCTGAGGCAAGCTGTGAAACACTTACGGAACGCGGAGCCCCTCCCCAACGAAAAGGGTTCCCTCTTCAGGGCCCCGACTGTATGTGGTGGTGGCACAGGAAGAGGAGCCACCGGACAAGGGAGCCAGAGTCTGGAAGGTGGAGCTCCCATCGTGGATCACGGCCCTGGATCTCACCCACGCCCTTCTCGGGTAAGACATCCTCCAGGGTCTGCAGCCTCCAGGGCCCATTCCTTCACCTACGCTCCTGCCGTGCCTTCGGCGGCGGACAGACCTCCCTACGGACCTGGACCCGCAAACATGACGGCCGCGACGCCCTCTCGCGAGCCGAAAACGGCCAATTCCTTAATCGACGTGTCGATACCTCCCCCCCTGGATGGGGATATGTAGGCCGCCCCCTCCGGGTTTCGAGGGGCATGCCCCCCATGCACATGGGGCGGTGGGGTGGTGGGGATGGGGCCGGGGGATGGGGACAGGGATCGGTCAAACGATGCGGACCTCAGCTTGTACTCCGCGAGCTCCACGCGCATCCGCTCCTCCGTCAACTCCCTCTGCGCCTTTGCAGGGGAAGGACACGGAAACCACGACCAAAACCGAGCGTGGGCACGTCGTGCCGATCTTGGTCACCGTCGGTCTTGGTCGCCTTCACTTCGTGGATCGTCCCCGCGCAGCGGCGACGGCCGGCATGGACCATGACCGAGATCGGCATCGACAAGCTCCTGCGACATCTTGGCCATGGTCCACGTGCTACTTCCCTCTGCCAGAGCGAAACAGCAGCAAAATGCTGACATCTTGGCCATGGCCCACGTGCTTCTTCCCTCTGGCAGAGCGAGACAGCAGCAAATTGTTGACCTCTCGGAGGTGTGCGCGGCTGTCGAGGCTATGCGCCGGACCCCCCTCCCCGGGCGGGCGCCGGGGGCACCGCCGGACGGCCCCGGGGGCCGATCCGAGGAAGTCCGCGCAGGGCCCCAGAGGTCTCTGTTCACGCGGCTGCTCTGCTTCGACGCTGCTCCTCCTCCCTCCTCCTCCTCCTCCTCCTCCTCCTCCTCCTCCTCCTCCTCCTCCTCCTCCTCCTCCCCCTCCTCCTCCTCCTCCCCCTCCTCCTCAAAGTCACTCCGTAGCCATTTTGGCCCCGGCGGCCTTGATCTTCTCCTCCGTGGACCCGTCCTGCAGCCGCTCCAGCTGCGCCAGCCGCTCCCTGGCCCGCTCGGACACCTCCCGCTGCGCCTCCAGGGCGGCCTGCAGCTGCCCGGTCTCGCGCGCGATGGCCACCTGGCGCCGCTGCTCCTCCTGCATCTGGGCGGTCAGCTCGGCCCTCGCCTTCTCTGCGGCCTCCACCGCGGCCTGGGAGGCCTGCAGCTTCATCTCCAGCACCGACATGCTCATCCGCTCCTCGGAGGAGAGAACACCATGCGAGCAATCGCACTGGTAGCAAGAAGAAACGGGAGGATACGAGTCGAAGTGAGCATGCGCTTTCGGAGGTCCGCGCGGACTGCTCGTGTCGGCGCTGGACCCCCTCCCTGGCGCGCGGAGCGCGCCAGGGTCGGCGCCAGAGGCGCCGCCGGGCGCGCCCAGCGCAGATCCGAGAAATCCACGCAGGCCTCCCAATGCTTGTCTGTGTGCCCTAGTCTTGTTGCACGACCTCAGGGTTCCCTGGCAGTCCCGTGGCCTTCCTTCTCCTCGCCCCTCGCCTGCCTGCGCCCCTGCGCCTCAATTCGCAGCGCATGCGCCCCGCCGCCTGGCTTTGCAGGACCCAACTCTCGCCGCGGACCCAACAGCGCGTGGCCTGTCCCCCGAGAGCTCCTGCATCAGCTGCGCCTCGGTGGCCTGCGACGCCTGCGGCGACGGCGGGGTGGAGAACTCCAGCTGGTTGCTCCGCACCCTCTCCAGGCGCGACGGGGGAGCGCTGCGCTCCTCCGCCCTCGCCTCGGCCTGCGCCTGCTCCAGGCGCTCCAGCCTCTGCTCCACCCGCTCCAGGTTCCGGCGCTCCTCCGCGAGCTGGAGCTCGGCGGCCGCGGCCTTGGCCGAGAGCTCCCGCTCCCGCTCCTGTGGAAAAGGCAGCCTCTGGGAGGTCTTCGCGGGAACGGCTCGGGGCTGGCAAGCCCGAGGAGGGGGGGCCACCGACCCGGATCGGGCAAGACTCGGCCCGGGGTGGCAGGTCCAGCGGGATGCATCGGGATTGAGCGGGATGTAGCTGGCGTGTGCGGGATACATAGATAGATAGATAGATAGATAGATAGATAGATAGATAGATAGATAGATAGATAGATAGATAGATAGATCGTAGATAGAGATACACATCTACACACCAGCGCCGACTCTGAATATAGCCTCCCAAGATGCATCCTAACTCCTGTGAAAGCGCAGACGGGGCGCCTGCACACCACCACCGTGTGTTGGGCGTCGCTTCACGGGGGGGCGATAAGGAGTGGGGGGGGGGGGGGGGAGAACGATGCACTCCACGGGCCCTCACTGGGCCCCTTCAGGGGCCCTAAAGGGCCTCTTTCCTGAAGCCCTCGCGGCCGCCCAATTGATGGCCCCGCCACGCCAAAGTTCGGGGACGCGCAAGCATGGATTAGCGATCCATGGATTTGGCGCGCGGTCACCAAATCCAATGATCGGGGGAGGTGCCCTCCCCAAAATGCGGCCGGTGCCGTCTCGCTCGGCGGCGGAAATCTGCAATTTCCCATGGAAACGGGACCCGTCGCTAATCCACTCCTCCTTGATCCATGTTTGCGATCGCCTGGTCCTCGTCGGTTGGCGGCGCGCAGAGGGGGGCAGAGGGGGGGAGGGGGGAAGGCTTCTCAGGAGGCTGCTTCTTAGAGGGCGCGGTCTTGCTTCTGCAGATAGGGAACGCGCACTCTGAGAGCAAGAGTGTTTCTGAGAAGCCCCCCCCCCCTCCCCCATACCCCCCTTCCACGCGCCGCCAAGAATCTTTTGTCGCGCTCTGAGGGTCCTGAGGTGCTCCAGGGCTTCTGCAAGTCACTGGGGGCACTGAGGGGTACGCCAGTTCCGCGGGGCGCGTGCTGGCTGGCAGGCCGACCTCTTACCTGATGCGCCAACGGTCCAGAACTTCTGCTTCGCATCGCGGCGGCTGCCTGGCAACGCGCCTTGCGCTATGCCTGCGAGCGGATCGCATGCCTTTCCGCTGGGCCGTTGACGCTTGGGGGCTGAGACCTGGTTGGAGCGTCGCGCCGAAGCGCGGTGGAACAGAATGCGGGGAAAATACTTCTATCCATTTCCAGAGCGTCTTAGACTTTCTTGGAAGGGGCGCCGCATGGCCGAGGCGCACTGGATATGGATAAAGTCTAGCCTTTGGGGGCGAAAGTTTAATCCATATCCAGTGCGCCTCATGTTTTTGAGGAAGAGAGCCCGAAACTCCAAGACGCACTGGATATGGATATAGACATTGCCAGCACAGAACCGGCGGCGCGACACGCTGAGTCAAAACTCCTGACCTATACCGGGTGGACCACGAGGTACCGACCGATACCGCTACTCCCTGGACATCTCCCAGACTGCGTTCAAACCAGAATTCCGAAGCGAATCCAGCCGTGGCGCCTTCTGGGAGGCTCCCGAGAAGGCCAAAACGAGAGAAGGGTAGCCGTATCGGTACCTTCTTTATGTGTTCCATGTACGCCTTCCCCGGAAGTCCCGACCCGTTTTTCAGGGCCAGTTTTTCCTCCCGAGTCGCTTTTTTGAGGGTCCCGAGGCCAGGGAAGGGCTCCCAGAGGCCGAACGCGTCCGAAAACCTCTCGTTGTGATTCTGTTACGTCGTGAGCATGCCTGGGCTTCCTCTTCTGGCGTGCTGCAGCCCAGGCCCGGTGGCGGTGCACCGGCCGCCCCCTGGCGGGGGTCCTGCTCGCGCTCGAGCACGGCCTGCAGCCCGGCCATGCTGGCGTTCGCCGCGTTGGCCGCCTGCAGCGAGGTCTGCAGCGACTCGCGCTCCGCGGCGGCGCGCTCCAGCTCGGCCTGTGCTGGGACTCGTCGGCACAGAATCGGAAAAAAACGGGTCGGGCCCCTGAATCTGTCGAGTTCTCGGGCCTGCGGGTTTGCTGAGTTTTCGAAAGGTTCCGAAGCCTGGGGTGACGATCTGGGGCGGTTTCCACCAGCTGCGCATCTCGTCGAGGTCGTTCTGGGGGGGACAGACTCGTCCCGAACGGCCACCATGAGACCCGAGCTATGGCCCGAAAGTCGAACGTGCTCGCGTCGCGGACAAGTCACGAGGGCGGGTTTTGGTCAGTGTTCGGCCTCCGGGGGCCCTCGCTGGGCTTGGGGAAAGGGATGGGATTTCTCGAAGGGGGAGGGCGTATTGAACAAAGAAGCTTGATGTCTGGGTCGGAATGTGCGCCTCCTCGGGCCGCTTCGGCACGGAGAGTCAAAATCGACTCGGATCGCCTGCGCCAAGATGCACAAACCGCGCCATGCATGCATCCGGCCACACACTGGACCGCCGGCGTGTCGGAACCGAATCGGGCCGGGCCGGCCAGAGCTGGCATCGCATCGAGCCGGACCGACGCCCGGAACGGACCCAGCCTGCGACTGCTGCAGCCTCGCCTCGGCCAGGTCCACCTTCTGCCTCTCCTGGAATAAGAAGAGCGCCATAGACAGAAACTTCTAAGGCTCCGCCAGGACTTCTTGAATTTGCGCTGGGCCCCCCTCCCTGGCGTGCGGAGCGCGCCAGGGGCGGCGCCGGAGGCGCCGCCAGGGCGGGCCACAACGCGGATCCAAGAAATCCGCGCGGGGCGCCACAACGTCCCAGAGATCCGATGTCCTGTTTTTTTTCAATGCGGGGTCCCCGGAAGTCTCGGCCCATGCCCCAGGACCGGTTTCTCATCCTGGGTCGTCTCTTCACGGTCCAGGGGCCTCGCGAGGGCCCCTGGAGGCCGAAAGCTAGGGAAAACCTCCGTCCCGATTTGTCTCCATGCGCTGGACCTCTTGGTTCCTGCCTATGGCGCCTCTTCTTCTTCTTCTTCTTCTTCTTCTTCTTCTTCTTCTTCTTCTTCGATCTCCTCGGCCAGCGAGGCCTTCGCGGTCTCCGCCTGCGTGGCGACCTGCGCCTGCAGCGCCTCCAGCCTGGCGCTCCAGTCCGCGGCCTGGGCCCCCCGGCCCGCCTCCTGCGCCGCGGCCTCCGCGCCGAGCGCCTCGACGCGCTCCTGCGCCTCCTGCAGCTGCGCCTCCGCCTGCCGCGAGGTCGGGCGTGTCCCCCTACCGGTGGATCTTGGGCGAAAAAAAAATGAGTAGCCCAAACATATGTATATACATACATATATAGGTATACATATATACATATACATATACATATACATAAACATATACATATACATATACATATACATATACATATACATATATATATATACACATTTACATATGTATATATGTGTATGTGTATATATATATATAATGTCAAAATGGCCCGAACATAGTTGAACAACCGACTCCCCGACTATGTTTTGACAAGTCTTCAACGTTTCCTCCTGTAGAGGGATATGCCCGACGTAAGCCTGCCGCAGCTGCTCCTCCAGCTGCTGCGCCCTGTCGTCGCCGGCGCCGCCAGCGCCCCTGTCGGCGGAGGCCTCGTCCGCGGCGGCCTTCTGGCCCTGCGACAGCGCCTCGGCCAGCTCGACGGAGAGCTCGTGCACGCGAGCCGCCAGCGAGTCGCGCTCCTCCATGCCCTTCTCCACGATCGCGAGCTTCGCCTCCAGCGTGGCGCGGGCGCGCTCGGCGTCGCGCACCTGCTCCAGCGCCTGGTCGAAGTTGCGGCGGTCGGCGAGGAGCTGTGCCTCCGCCTGGAGGGCGCGATCCTTCGTGTCGTTGCCCGCCGCCTTTGCGGCGCTGAGCTCCTGCATCGCCTGCTCGTACTCGGACTGTACCGCGCCCGCGTTGGCGGACAACTCTGCAAGCTGCTCCCGCAGGTAGGCCGACTCGCCCGAGGACGACTGGATGCCGGCGAGCTCCTTCTCGGCCTGGGAGAGCCGATCCTGCAGCTCGTCCCTCTGCCTCTCAGACGCCGACCGCTCTGCGGCGAGCTGCTCGTATGCGAGCTCAGTCTTCCGCGCCTGCTCGCGCTCCTGTTCCAGCTCCGCCTCCGCGTTCGTCGTCCACTCCTTGAAGTCCATGGCGACGGCCCGGCTCTCGCGCAGCTCCATCTCCGCGGCCTCGAGCTCCTGCTCGAGGCCAGCCTGGCGGGCGGATGCCTGCTCCAGCAGTCGGCTCATGTCCTGGCGCCCGCTGTCCATGGCCAAGAGCCTCTCCCTTCTGCCCAACTCCTCCTCGTAGGCTGCCTCGAGGAAGGCCCGGTTCACGTCCTCCTGCAGGTTAAGAATGCTGTCCCTGGTCACCTCGTCCTTGTACAGCGCTGCCAGCCTCACCTCGAGGAAAAGCTTGGCGCGCTCTGCCTCTGCGACGCTCTCGAGAGCGTGGCGGAAGCCAGAGGACAGGTTCTCGCAGTCCATCGCCTGCTCCTCGGTGGTGTGGCGCTCTTGCTGCAGCTCCGCCTCGAGCTGCGATGCCCGCTGCTGGGCGGCGGCGCCAGCAGCCTGCAGGTTCGCCTCCGCGAGTCGCAGCTCGTCCTGCAGCGCGGTCTTCGCCGCGGTGGCGTCGCCGAGCTGGCGCTCCAGGTCCCGCCGCACCTCCTCCAGGTCGCGCAGCTGGCTCTGCTGGGCGCGCGTCTCCTCCGCCGCGGTGATCGCGGCGTCCTTGGAGCGGGCAACCTCCTGCCAGTGCTGCTGCTTGGCCTCCACGAGCTCAGAGCGGAGCTGCTCCTCCGAAATGATGTGCTGCCCCGCCGCGGAGATCGCGACGTCCTTGGCACGAGCCACCTCCTGCAGCTGCTTGTTCTTCGCCTCGATAAGCTCCGAGCGGAGCTGCTGCTCCATCAGCTGATGCTGCCTCGCCTCCTCCCGCAGTGCCTGCAGCTGCTGTGGGGTCTGCAGCTGCTGGTTCTTGGCCTCGATGAGCTCCGCGCGGAGCTGCTGCTCCTTCAGCTGGTGTTCCCTGGCCTCCTCACGCAGCTTCTGCATCTGCTGCGGTGGGGTCTCCATCCTCCGCACCTGGTACTGGCCGCCTTGGGACTGCTCCCTGCTCGGGGCCCGTCCCGTGCTCGCCTTGCTTTTCGCGTACATCGTCTGAGTCACCTCAGGGGAGGTGGTACCAGACATGGGAACGCGCCGCACTGACCCCTGGGTTCTCTGCGAGAGGGGTATCTGCCCCGACGGCTGCGCCAGCGTAGTCTGTGGCGAGAACTGCTGCTCAGCCTTCTGGTCGACGGGGTAGCCCGACGGAGCCTGCTGGGCCTGCTGGTCGACCGGCCTGTTGCTGGTGCTGTTGGCATCGCGCTTCGGCGTGGCCTCTCGCGTCGGGGCATCCGATTCGGCGGCGGCTGTGTCTATCGAAACACCAGTGAGCTTTTGCGTCATAGCCTGGGCTTCTGGCACTGGTGACTCCTTTATCACGGTGTCCCGGTTGCGCAGGCTCGTCAAGTAGCCCTCGTCGCGAAGGCGCTCGATGGAGCGGATCTTGAGGTAGTGCATGGGCAGCACGACCTCGGCCGGGTGCTCCCACATGGCCTTTGAGAAGCAACCGTACGGGGGGGTTGGAGCTGGCTTAGGGGGGAACATCGACTCGGAATCGGCGATGTGTCGCAGACAGTTAGAGCGGAACAGTGCCTCCGAAAACGAGTCTGGACGCTGCTGGGCGGGGCGGGCTATGCGTGAATAGGGCATTGGGGTTCGATGCTTTCTCCCCTGAGCCTATCTGAAAGAAGAGAAACTTGCCTCAACACAAACTTTCGGAGGACTGAGCGGGTTTGATGGATCGGCGCTGGACCCCGGTCCCCGGCGCGCGGAGCGCGCCAAGGGCCAAGGGCGGCGCAGGAGGCGCCACCAGGGGGGCCCAGCGCCGATCTGGAACTCTGCGCGAACCTCCGAAAGCTTCTGTTTATCGAGTTTGTTATCGGCGACTGTGCCCATTCCCCCTAACGACGTTGCCCCTGAGCCTCCCACGTCTCCCGGTGGCAGTAATACTCCCTCCCGTTGTCGTGCTTGACAGAATACCACTTGGCGAGCTCCTGCTTCGCCTCCGCTTGCCACGTCTCCAGCAGGGTGGAGATCGTCGACTCTCGCAGCGCGGCAGGGAACCTGCCGACGCCACAGCGCTCTCTTCGCGACATTCGATGGACTTCAGAACGCCTGTTAGCGCCAACGTGTGATTGTCCTCACAGTCCCCTCTATACGACGCAGGCAGCGTAACGATGGCCGACGCAGGCCGAACGGGGTAAACAGACACTGGGATCACACGTTCTGAGAATCATCTGGACGCGGGCCCCGAGGTGGTCGACCCCTTTACTGGGGCTGGCGCACAGTATAGACACATATGGTGGAAGCAATGTCGTGAGAAATCTGGGGGCACGACTGTCGTCGAGATCTGACCTTCTGGCGGTGCCCCAAGGCATCCGTGGGCCCCTGGGACCATCGGGAGATGATGAACTTCCTCGGGGTCTCTGCTGACCGTGCCCACAGAGGTGGGTTAGGGGCAGAGGTGGGGCTGGAGGAGAATCGGTCAGACCGGCCCCAGCAAGAAGTAAATGTGAGCATCCAGCCGGGCAGGCTGCCCGACCCCACCTTGCGAGAACCCCCCCCCCCTCTGCGAAGCCCCGAGCGGTGTCGTCTCTGGGTCGGCCCGGGGCCCGAAGCGGGGCCCCAGAGGCTCAGACTCGGAGATCGGGGTCGGACGAAGCAAGGGCGCCAGCAGGGGGGGGGGGGGCAGCAAATCGGCTCACGCGGCTTAGCTTTCCAGGCCCCTCCCGGCGCCGGGGCTCGCCCAGGCAACTGCCGAGGCAGGCGCCCGTCGGCGGGGCCGGAGCCAGAGCTGCACGCAACAGCTGTCGCCCCCCCACCACCTTGCCCGGATGCCCTTGGTGGGGCAACGAGCAATGACATCAACATAAAAACTCGGAGGTCCGCGCGGATTCCTCGGATCGGCGCTGGGGCCCTCCACGCGGCCCGCTCTTCGTTCCCAGACCCCCGACGTCATGATTTTTTCATGACGCGACCCCCAGAGGTCCGGACCCATTCCCCGGGACCGGTTTTTCGTCCTGAGTCGTTTTTTGACGCTCCCGAGGCCCGGTGAGGGCCCCCAGAGGCCGAAAATTAGGAAAATCCTCCCGTCGTGATTTTTTCACGACGCGAGGAGGTCTGAGTTCGAAGGATCCGGAGGGAACGTGAGGCACATGCGGCAGACGCCCGCGAGCTCCCGCAGGGAGGGCTCCAGCGGGTGCGTCCAGGTGCTCGCCCCGGAGGACCGGTTCGCGAAGAAGGTGCGGCCCTGCGAGTCCCGCGCCATGTGCCACGGAGAGGGCAGGGGCGCCTCCGGGGGGTGAAACGGAGGGGAGGCCCACGCTATACACCAGATGTGTGAAGACATCTTGATGTGAGGTGCCGGGGGGCACCTGTTTGGTGGGCGTTTTCTTGTTCGGCGCTTCGACACTGAGGGCGGAAGGGGGAAGGGGGTGGAGGGGGGGGGTCTGGCTCTGGACCTCTGGCGAGTGCGACTGTTTGCAGCAGTGCGTCCTACGGGGGAGACTCCACCTGCCTGAAACAGGCGCCAAAAACAAAGCCAAGAACTACTCCAAGGGAGGGGGGGGGGCGAGGGCCCGGGCCGATCGGCAAAAGCAATACATAAAAAACGTTCACATGTGAGACGCTGGGCGACACTTGTTTGTTGATTTGTGTTTGTCGACCTTGCTTGGACCTCGCAAGGTGCCCCCAGAACTTCAAGGAGTGCCAGCGTCGGGGAATACAGAGAATTCCGACGGGTGCCCAGGGACGTCGGGAAATCATAAGTTTCCGAGGGGGACCTACTGGCAGGCAGCTGTCTTGTTGGGCGCCTGCAGCACGTGCACTGGAAAGCAAACACAGTGTGGGTGTCACGCTGGCTGGGCGGCCCAAATCACCGCGCTACTTCTGAAAAAGAATATGATGTCTGACGCCTGTGCCATTGATACTCTTGATCCCTCCCGAGAGCAGTCCCAAGACCTCTGGCGCCGTGACTGTTCGACTGCCGGTGCCTCCTGGAGCCTGTCTCGGACCACAGGACCATCAATCGGGGGGCCCTGGGAGCGCGGACGCAGCGCAGTTTACGAGGGATCGTGGCCCAGGGAGCGCGGACGTAGCCTAATTTACCATGGGTCGTGGCCCTGGGAGCGCGGACGCAGCGTAATTCTACGAGAGATCCTGACCCTGGGACAGGACCCCCTTCCGGCGAACCGCCCTGCAGCGAGACCGACCGGGGACCACACCAGGCGGGCGCGAAGGCCCGCAGTTAGATGGTCCTTCATGGGAGCCTCTTTGACGCCAGCAACGCCCCAACGTGCAATGGATTTTGACAGGATTTTGATGGGCGTGTTTTCCACCACCACCACCATCATAAGTTGGCGGGGGTGTCCTCCTCCTCCTCCTCCTTCTCCTCCTCCTCCTCCTCCTCGTCCTCCTCCTCCTCCTCGCCCTCCTCCTCCTCCTTCCCCCCTCCAACTTATGGTGGTGGTGGTGGAAAACAGGCTCATCAGATTTGGCCCTGATGCTGACCGCGCCGCCAGCTCTGCGGCGCAGAGCCGGCGGCGCAAACACCCTCTCGAGAACCGCAGGGGCGCCCTCCTCGCCGATCGACCCGCCGGCGCTCCCGCGCGCACTTCCCTGATTGCTTATCTTGAGCAGGGACCGACCGTCCCGGCATTCCTATAGTAGGGGGAAAACAAACCTACCTCGCTTTTGACCACCCTCGCTTCCAAGAGATACCAAACGGTGCCAAATCGCAACCTGTACTGGTCAGGCCGCTTGACGAGGCGGCTCGTGGTATGGCTTGGTTTTGCCTGGAAGCGAAAGCGGGGTAGGTAATTCACGCTCTGATATAGTCCTACCACGACATGTTCTCAGAACCCCCCAGATGTTCTAAGAACAAAAGCCATGTGCTTAGAACGTAGACCCGATGCGACGAAACAAGACCAGACTCCACCAGAACTGTTCTGAAAACATCTCGTGGAAGCCACAAAAGGTTCCTAGAACATTGTTTGGCAGGGCTATAGGCGAACCAGGACGCCTCGCCGCTGCTTGATTGTCTTCCTTGATTGGGGGTGGGGCTCGATCTGCAACCGCCGCTCGGAAGAACTGCGCAGGAGCCTGACGTGTGTAGGCGGGCGTCGGCAGTGGGCTGGACCTCCGGTCGCCCCCGGCAGGAGGAGGGACGAGAATGGGACGCACAAAGACATACTAGTACTATATGTTCTCCTTGGAGGCGCGCGTCCGACCCAAACATATAGTATACCCATCTTGTAGTATATCGTTTCCCGAGCGGTGTGGCCAGAAACCGCCCGCCACGACGCATATACTGTAAGATTTCTCGGTGCGCGCATCGCCCCCGGGGGGGCGACGCACACATAGTATAAGTATGTTGGGGTGACGCCGAGGAGGAGGAGGAGGAGGAGGAGGAGGAGGAGGAGGAGGAGGGAGGAGGAGGAGGAGGAAGGAGGAGGAGAGAGGAGGAGAGGAGGAGGAGGAGGAGGAGGAGAGGAGGAGGAGGGAGGGAGGGCGAGCGCTCGACCCTCCGCAGCGGCAGGGCGCCCGGAGCAGACACGGAGCCTGGGAGCCCCCACGAAAGACTTCCTCTCGACGACCGGCGTGCGAAAAACACTCCGATCCCCCGAGTGCCGGCGTCTCTCCCACTCCAGAGGAGGAGGGGGAGGAGGGGGAGGAGGAGGAGGAGGAGGAGGAGGAGGAGGAGGAGGAGGAGGAGGGGGAGGGGGAGGGGGAGGAGGAGGAGGAGGGAGGAGGAGGAGGAGGAGGAGACTGAAGACTGTAGACAGTAAAGAGATGCGTCCTCCCACAGGCAGACCGCCTTCACCGTTGTTTCGGGTCCCTCGGCCAGGGAAGCCACGACCGACCCTGCCGCATCGAGCGGCGTGCGCAACTGGACTGCACGAGTACGACAAGCCCAGGGCGGGTGGACACAAAGTCCCGTGGGCTTCACGGGCCACGCGACCCCACGGGCCGGTTCCCAGGATGGGGCTCCAGGAGGCGAGGCGTGCCACGCGGTCCGAGAGCCACGGCGTCGGAGGTCCGGCGGTGGGCAGGCCTCCCTTTCGTAGACCTGCAGGCTTAGCGAAAACGGCCTGGGACCGAAACCGAAAGTCAAACATATTCACAACGTGTCGAAAAATACTAGGAAAATCGTTCCCGTATCGTTTTTTGGCTATGTTTGAACATTCCGCCTGTAAAGGGACGTGCCCGACTTCACACCATCACTCCCGGGCTAGCATATCTTGGAAGAGCTCGATAGAACCACAGTCGGCGGTGATCAAAGCTCCCTTTAGTAAAACTCCCTACAGTGAAAACGGCCTGGGACCGAAAGCGACGGACCTGGACCCGCAAAAATGACGGCCGCGACGCCCTCTCGCGAGCCGAAAACGGCCAATTCCTCAATCGACGTGTTAGGGTAGGAGGTCTGTCCACCCCCGAGAGGTCTGGGCTCGGGCACAGGAGGCCTCCCTGGAAAGTCGATCGCATCAGGGAGCGATCGAGTACGAGGCAAACACCCCCCAGGATCTGTTGTCACAAGGCGATCTGCTCACCCTCCCGTGCTCACCATGACCCTGTCGGTTCGGGCCTTGGCGATGGCGTCGCCGAGAAATCTCAGGATCACCTCTTCGGCAGGGAGCGTCACGACTTCCAGCGATCTGACGTACGCGATCCGCTCCTCCCGACTCCATGAGGAGTCTGACCACTTACCTGCGGTGGACGACGGGGAGGACAATGATGAGCAGAAGGAAACGGGGAGAAGGAAAAGGGGAAGGAGGAAAAGCGGGAGGAGGGAAAGCAGTGAGGGGGCAGGAGGCGAAGGGGCAAGAGCGGCAGGAGGAGTAAGCAGAGAGGGAGAAGGAGGACGAGGGGACCACTGAGGCTGAGGATGATGAGGAAGAGAAGCAGGACAAGGAACAAGAAGAGCGAGGAATGAGGAGGGTAAGAGGAGGAAGGACACGGAGGACGGAGGAGGGAGCACGGAGAAGGGAGGACCGCACTTCGCTGGAGCTTCCGCGCGCCGCTCCCGCCGCGTAGGACGAAGACGGGCGAGGCAGGACGGAGAAGGGAGGGCGCAGCAGGGGGGGCGGAGAGGGGAGGACGGAGGGAGTGCCTGTGTGCGTGGACCCTGGGGTCCCGATCGACTTGTTCACGCTCGGGCTGGGAGCGGCGCTGAGCGACAAGTTCACGTTCGGGCTGGGCGCGGCACTGCCTTCGGGAGCACACCCCCCGCGCCCGCCCGGCCTGCGGCTCCCCCCCCCCCCCCCCTCCCCCCCCCCCCCTGGCGAGGAGGGAGGCGGACGAGGGAGAGCAAGTGGAGGGCAGAGGAGGGCCCAGGAGGGAGGGCAGGCAGGAGGAGGAGGAGGAGGAGGAGGAGGAGGAGGGAGGAGGAGGAGGAGGAGGAGGAGGAGGAGGAGGAGGAGGAGGAGGGGGAGGGAGGAGGAGGAGGGGGGGGAGGAGGAGGAGGAGGAGGAGAAGGGCAGAGGAGGAGGAGGAGGAGGGAGGAGGAGGAGGAGAGAGGAGGAGAAGGAGGAGGAGGAGGAGGAGAAGGAGGAGGAGGAGGAGGAGGAGGAGGAGGAGGAGGAGGAGGAGGAGGAGGAGGAGGAGGAGGAGGGGAGGAGGAGGAGAGAAGGGGCAGGAGGAGGAGGAGGAGGAGGAGGAGGAGGAGGAGGAGGAGGAGGAGGAGGAGGAGGAGGAGGAGGAGGAGGGGGAGGACCAGCAGCAGCACACCCTCCCCTCCACCACTCTTCCCCGCACCTCCCCCACCCCCTGCTGAGCGTGGGGAAAAACGCGTCCTGAGGGAGGCTCTGAAGGAGACGGGTCCTTCCCAAGGACGAGACCTTCCTCTGGAGCCGTTCTCTGACAGTCCCGGGGCCCGTGGAGGGCCCCGAGGCCAAACACCGCGGAAATCCTCAGGACCCGTTCTCCTCAGGACCCGCTTCCCTCGCGGCAGCACCCCCGCCGCCCCTCTTCCCCCCACGCCTTCCCTGCTCCCCCCCCCGCCCGCTCCCTCGACTCTGCCCTTGGCTCCTGCCCCTCCCTCTCGCGGCTTCCCTGCCCCTGCAGCTTCCCTGCGGCGGGCGTCGTGCCGCCGCGGCTTGCGCGCTGGCCACTGGCACCGGGTGGGCCGCCCGCCCTGGAAGCGTGGAGCAGGGACCGACCGTCCCGGCATTCCTTCGGTTTTTCAAACATGTGGTTCTGAGAGATGTGGTCCTAAGGATACGGACCCCTTGAAAAACAAATGCCGCACTCGCGAGCGCTACGTCCGGCAGC